AATATATCTTTACTACCTAGTATTGTAGTCTCTGTTATACAGTTTACCTATGAGAATATATATGCATACTTAGGTATGAATAAATATGTTTATGTATGTATCTATGTTTTATTTTGCATAAATGTTGCTTTACTTCAGAGAGAATATATGGTATTTGTCTTTTTGGTATTGGCTTATTTCATTAAGTATAATAATCTCCAGTTGGGACTCCTTCGTTGCAAATGGTAAGAGCTCATTCTTTTTAATGGCTGAATAATATTCTATGGAGCAGAAGTACCACAGTTTCATTATCTATTCCTCTTATGATGGGCATTGGTAGTTTTCAAGTCTTTGCTATTGTAGGTTGTGCTGCTATAAATATAGGGTTTCAAGTTGCTTTCTCATATGCTGGTTTCATAAGCTTTGAATATCTTTCCAGGAGTGAAATAGCTGGGTCATACGGTAGGGCAGTTGTAGCTGTTGTGCCTCACGTTTTTTTGATTCCCAATTCTTTCTACAAGTTAGGGATGTTTCCAATTATTTTTTTCAATGAATATATCTTTTCATCTGGCTTCTCTTTCTGTGCCTTCTAAAATTCCCATAACTTTTATGTTTGGACTGTTGATGATGTACCTTAATTCCTGAGTTCTTTTCTTAGCTTAGTTCAGTTCCTCTTCATTCATTCACTATTTCAATGTTATTGTGGGAGATATCTTCTGATACTGGTGAAATCGTTTCATCTGCTTCGATCATTTAATTATTGCAATTTTTTATTGAATTTTTCATTTGTTATATTGTGTTCTTCATTTACAATACTTATGATTGTTTTTCTTTTAGCCTTGCTATTTCCTGTGTAACATATTCATTGAATTCCTGTTTGTGGACCTGATGTGATGGCTCTGTGGCTAAATCTTTGTCTTGTTTGTGCCAGGATCCCACATGGATGCCAGTTCATGGTTTGGATGCTCCTCTTCCCATTCAGCTCCCTGAATGTTGCCTGGGAAATCAGCATAGAATGGTCCAAAACGTTGGGACCCTGTACCTATATGGGAGACCTGGAGAAGTATCCTAGCTCCTGTCTTCGGATTGGCCCAGCTCCAGCCATTGCAGCCACTTGGTGACTAAACCAATATGTGAAAGATCTTTCTCTCTGTATCTCCTTCTTTCTGTAAATCTGCCTTTACAATAAATATAAATAAATATTTAAAAAATCCTGTATGTGCTTCTTGTTGTTTTTAAGAAGCTTTATAATGCTTTTTTTTTTTAATCTTTATCTGGTATTTTTTCCATGCCTTCCTCAGTTAACTCTGAGGTTGACATTGTCTTTTGCTTTTTGCAGGGAAGGCTCCTGGAGCCTTATTTATTGTGCCTATGCTATTTCTTTTTTCTTGCAACTCTGATTAACAAATTCCTTTCTTAGGGGCCAGTTTTTAAACTGTGTCATCAACGTGTCTACAGTTATTCACTGATCCTGTGCAGTGCCTATATTTGTTTGTTCTCACTCAAGCCATTCCCTTTCATGTGTTTCCAGCTTGCGTATACTTTTGCTATGACTTCTGCAGCTCTGGCTCCTGGTTCATCACTATTACCCCTGTGACTCAATGTTATGGTTGTGCAATTGTCTACTCAGGCTTTTTTTCTTTTCCCAGTTCCAACAGTACATGGGATTAGGGAAACACCAGCTGTGATTTTAAACTGGATAACAAGGCTTTGAGTGGTGTCCATTGCACAGAATTTTTTCTTTCCTCTTCTTGCTGGAATCTACTGGCAGTTAGGTCTAAGGACAACTTGGGTGTATTTTGAATAAATCTCATGGGATATCAACTAGACATTATTTTCCCAATATGACCAGTGCAGTACTTTGAGACGAAAGTGAGTTTTTTCTTGGCTCAGTACTTGTACATTTTGCTGCCACTCCTTCCCACCCTGAGTCTTTGCCGCAGAACTCAAAATGGCACGCAACGTGACACTGGTTGGGACGTGGACATAATCTCCCCATCCCACTCTAGGTGCCAGGAAGGCTCTGATTGCTACTGGGGTATCTGTTTCCTACAGTCCTGCACTGCTGCCTCTGCTGCTTCCCCATGTGCACAGGTCTCTAGGTATTCTTCTGTCACTGGCCTGTCTTCACCTATTTCCTGGTGTCTTGCCCTCTTTGATTCTCCTCCATTGATCCTTTTCTGTCCATTCTAACCTGTCCTCATCCAATTCTGCCATCCTGCAATGTCCATGTATCCATCCGTAATCCACTAGCCATTAATGCAAAATTGTTAATAATTACTGTAAAACTTTGGAGACCAAGTCATTATCAATGATTCAAGCTTTTGAGGACACCCAGAGTATTATCAAAACTCTAACAATGCCTTGATGTGGATTTCTTTTATCTGTCTCATCCCCAAAGATTATGCAAAACTTTTAAACTAATCTAACACTTTAAGTTGCAAAAAAAACACCTTGAGACTGAAACTGACAAACTGAATCACATTCCTCTTTTAATTAAGTTCTACAGAAACAGAGAAGCTCATGTATGTGATATATATATAACCATACATCTGCTTTTGGAGCCTAATTTTCCTACATGCTATTAGCTCAAGTTAGAATTTCACTTGTTTTTGTACTTCCATAGCCTTAGTGTTCTGTTAATATGGAAAAGGCCTTTGTCTATTCATCTTAAAGAAATTATATTTTCCAGTGCATGTATCTATTTGTGTAATTAGAAGATATGAATGTATGGTGTCCTTTGAAGGCAAGAATAGCTTGGTATATCCTAGTTTTCATGCACAGAAAAAAAACTTACTGCATTGCCTTTCATCCTCACAATCTCCATATAAAACAGGTGTAATTGACCTCACTTCTACAGATGAAGAGGACTTTCTTTGAAAGGGGTCAAGTACTTTACTCAAGATCACACAGTAAATGGGGTAGCAGAGGTGAAATTTGATTTCTCTTCTGTTGAGGTTCTGTATGCTAGTATTTAGTTACAAATTCTGAGAGTTTAGGAGCATCAACAAGATCATGTTTTTTTTGTTGCCGTTCATATAAGAAAATGGAAAATAGCAGTACTTTGGGTAAATCATAATACAACAAGAAAGCCTAGAATGAGGAAGTTGTAAAATCACATTTGTACTGTAATGCAATCATACATGTGAAGTAGAAATAAAAATATTAAATGAGAAATTCAGTTATACTTAATTCTAATAAATGACTCTATAACTTCTCATGTCTGCTCACTGCATTTAGATAGAGTTTGAAACTATCACTTAGTTTTATATTTTATTATACATAAAATTCAATCTGTAACAGCATATTTTAATGTATTTAAAATGATTGCTCAACTGCCTAGGCTGCCTTGTTCCTAGGCAGGTGTCACACCGCTGGAATAAAAGCAGCCAATAGCTGGAAGGCATTCTGGGTCTGGTTAATGCCCAAATTTTGTTAACTATACCAGTATGCCAGTATGGGAGCTGCAGATTCCTCACGGAAAAGAGTGCGGGGACATGTTGGATTGGGGGCAGCTGATGGTACATTTGACAGGAGAGGAATAATTTCTTGGCAGATTCCATGTACCAGACCTCTGTATTTCTTGGTAGACAAGGGAGCTAAGACAAAGTGATTTTGAGGGTGCCTGGCTCAGGCCAAAACACCTGCCCATGTGGAAGACCTGGGCTCGGTTAAATAGCATCTCCTGCCACATGCTGGTGCAGGCAAAAGCTTGAGCTTGGGAAATGCCTAGCTGGGCTAAACTGCAGTGTCAGGGCAGGAGGTGGGTCATATCAATCTCATCTGTAGCAGAAACCAGAATGCAAGAGAATGAGATCTGTGGGCAGATTCTGTAGGAGACCTTTTGTTTCACCTTTGAGTTCATGCAGAAATCTTGAGGTACTGATGATATAAGCCAGGCTGGAAACTGGAACTCATCAACACTCATGGGAACCTGGGCTTGGAGGGGGACATGGTTGGGCCATGCTAAAACATCCAATGGCACATGCAAAGGTTGGGACTGAGGGCAGATTATGTCAAGCAGGGCTATGACAACTATCAGCACATTTGAGAATCAGGACTGGTAGGGGTACCTGGGGAACTCCCTTGGTAGGCTGTACCTTCCCCTGGGAAGTTCAATAGTGGAGCTTGGGCAGGCCAGGCTGGGCTGGGCTGCTGCACCTGCAAGTATGTGCTGGGACTGTGTGTGAGTTGTGGTCAGCCTGTTCTGCACTACCCTCTGACAGGCACAAGATCCCAAGATGGGAGTGAGCCTGGGAGGAGGTCTGTAGGCATATCCATGCTGGGCTACAGCTCCTGTTGATAAGCATGAGAACCAAGGTCTGGGGTGGGCCAGGCTGGTCAAGGCTGAAGAACGCATTGGCATACTGTGGGCCAGATCTGGGAGAAGGTCAGGCTGAGCTGATTCAGCACCCATGGGTGCTGAAAACGTTTGCTTATATTGATCATTCTACTTTAACATTTCCCGGGATCCCAACCAAATAAATAGCCACACACCTTTTGGAGAGTACACCGTGAGAAAATAACACTGACCAGGTATGGTATAATACTTACCCTAAAGTAAGAAAACGTAAAGGAAAAATTAGTCCAAGATAAAAACCCTGACTTGGGGTGTGTGTGTGTGTGTGTGTGTGAGAGAGAGAGAGAGAGAGAGAGAGAGAGAGAGAGAGAGAGAGAACACATACTGAGGTACATGGTGCAAGGGTAATTAACAATGTAAAACCAACCAATGGTCTAGTGACTTGTTGGAAATGGAAAAGCTGGCCAGCAGTAAGAAACTAAACCAATCCAAAATAAAAGACACTACCCTGTTTTCAAGAACAGGCACCTGTCAGCAGGCATAACATAATGTAGGGCTGTAGTCAGTGAGGTACCTTTTATTCCCAAAGCAACCTGCAGGTGAAGGAATCTGGAAGCTGCAGCTCCTACAGATATTAGCAACCCCTGCTCTGAGTATGATAGGTTAATTTACAGATATCTTCTGTATATCATGCTTGTGATATTCAGTAATTTGACAGTTGATGTGGAAGCAAGAATGTGGCGGGTCCTCCGGTGCCAAGTTCAGCATTTCCCTGGGTGTCTACGTGGGTGCTGTCATCAACTGTGTGGACAACACAGGAGCCAAAAACCTCTACATCATCTCCGTGAAGGGGATCAAGGGACGGCTGAACAGGTTCCCTGCCATCAGTGTCGGGGACATGGTGATGGTCACAGTCAAGAAGGGCAAGCCAGAGCTGCGGAAGAAGTTATATCCAGCAGTGGTAAATTGACAACGAAAGTCATATAGAAGAAAAGATGGTGTGTTTCTTTATTTTGAAGATAATGCAGGTGTCATAGTAAACAATAAAGGCGAGATGAAAGGTTCTGCCATCACTGGACCAGTTGAAGGGAGTGTGCAGATTATGTGCAGTTGATATTGAGATACATTCAAATAGGTATTGTAGATTATTTATCCAAAAACATTTTTTGAACAACCACCAGCCAACAGATTCTGTATTAGGTACTGAGATTTTAAAATTGAATCTGAAAATAAAAGTTTCTTCGATTGTACAAAGTCAAGTTTTATGGAGGAAAATAGATGAATATTAAACTGTTACAAAGTGTAAGTGCTAGAAAAGGATATGCATTTCCATGGGAGACATGAATATGGGGTCAATTACACTGATTTGAGAGGGATGACATTTGATTTTGGTATACAATTGTTGCATCAAATTAAAAATAACAGAAGTGTTTCTCCAATTGTAAAACAATCATGGCAAAATTAGTGAAAGAATAAAAGATTGTGCTGGACTTAATGGCTAATATGCAGGTGGATGATGGAAATTGGAGGACAAACCTGGAATGACTGCTTGGGGTTCTGTAGGATGTGCTCCAACTTCCATCCTGAGCTCCTGCAGCCTCTGGAAGGTACGAGAGGTTGAATCAGATCTTGGTCCGAGGTGGTGGGAACATGTAGTCATGGCGTATCATTTCTCTCTAATCAAGAAGGTCTGCTGAGGAGTGGGAGAGCAGGCCCGTCCCAAACCAAGAGACAGATGGCATGTGGGATGGACTAGTCTAGGCTGAGAACATGTGTGAGCAGAAAAATCTGGAACTAGGGCAGGCCTGGTGAGAGTTCTTAGGGGTTACCACAACGGGATTTCAGCACCCTCTGGTGTGCATGAGGACTGGGCATGTGGTGAGCCAGGCTGGATTAAGCCATAGTATGCTTCACTTCACCTGAGAGATGGGGCTGGGAGTGAAACTGACCAGGCAGCTGTGTCTAGGAGTGTCTGCCTTAGCTGATGCAGGTGATGGATGAACCTGACCTTGAACTGTTTGACATACCTAAGAGTCAAGACTGAGGTCACCCCAGGTGAGATTTCTTGGTGGACTCCCCAGATTGATCACTGGACTCAACCCCTGCCCTCAGGAAAAAAATTTACAACATCTGTTGCCCAGCTTCAGACTGGAGATCCTCAGTTGCTGTTGCCTCTGACTCATTTAGGCCAGTATAAGGGATGTGGAATGTCACATCAGGGGATAGAAAGTAGAAAAGGCTGGACAGTTTTTCTGGCCAAGCTTTGCAATGATTGTCTGGTTCTGAGGATGCACCAAGGTGGAATTGATCAGCCAATAGACTTTGGAAAGGTTTTCTCAACCCCGGTGCAATGAAGCGAACAACATGTCAGAACAATCAAAACCATCCAAACAACACCCTTGGAATTCTCTTTCCCACATCGAGGTCTCTAAGGCATCATCAAATGACTGTCCCCTATCTCTAGGTGTTGATACAGTTTAATAGTAAGGTGTGGCCCCCTCTGAGTTCCCCTCTGTGGACAGCAGAGAAAAGACAGTTTGAAGCATTTGTCCCACCCACCTGCCTCTGTACCACAGCCCTCCCCACTCTAATCAGAGGCTCCCATGGGGCACATCTTTCACAACATGTAAACAATATTAAAATAAAATTTAAAAAAAGAGATGCCTACATTGTATGTCAACATTCCTGGATAAAAGTGTTTTGTGGGAAGATGAAGTTAGAAATGATTCAAAATTTAAAAATAAAAAAAAATAAAGTGACTATAAACACACATTACCACAAAAAAATTTAAGAAGGCTGAAAAATACTCACATGAAGTACATGTGGTTCAATAAATGAATTGTGGCTAAACTGAAGTTCCATACCAGGCCAAAACAAATACAAGCAAATAGTATGCATTCTTATAACTTTTAGTAATAGTTATAGGACATACATAAATAATGTAAAGAATATCCCAGGATAATAAGTCAATGGAATTAACCAAATCAATTTTATGATTGTTATGGTCAAAGTGGAAGATATGAGTGTATACTTGAAGTACATTAATGAGATTCCATTTTCATGTTAGTGATTCAACTTACAAATTTTCATTTCGTGACACAAATAGCAAGGACAGAAATAAGTGAGTTGGTATCTTAAAATATGGATTTTGCTGCCTGCATAAAAACTTTAGAGTAATATTTTTCATTTCTAAAAATGTGAAGTTTATAAAATCAGTAACTCATGGACTTATTATTTCCTGTGCCATTTTCCCCCTGTTTTATGTTCATTTTTTACAAAATTTTTTCATTACCAACTACTTCTTATAGTAGCCTACTGACAATATCTTGGGTACAAAATTTTGAAAAAAAAATATTAAATGTGATGTGTTCTTTGCTGACAAGATATGGTATAGTATGGGAGTATCAAATGACTGCTTCACAGCATATTCTGGGTAATTCAAATGTAAACATTACCTTTTATTGTATTGACTTCTTTCTTTTAAAAAATATATATATATATATTTTGGAAAGTCAGATCAGGTTTATTGAGAAGAAAGACAAACAGAGGGACTACCTAGGTCTCCACAATGCGGGAACTGAGCTGATCTGAAACCAGAAGTCAAGGACCAGGAGCTAGGAGCCTCTTCTGTGTCTCCTATGCGAGTGTAGAGTCCCAAGGCTTTGGGCCATTCTCTACTGCTTTCTCAGGCAGCAGGCAGGGAGCTAAATAGGAAGTATGGCTGCTGGCACACAACCTAGCATACGTATGGAATCCTGCCACTTGTAAAGCGAGGATTTAGCCACTGAACCATCGTGTTGAGCCCTAAAGTATTGCATTCAATAATCAAGGGAAAAAATACATCTGATTCAATTAAGCTGCAAAAATGCAGCCTGCCTTGGTACAGCTTTCCTTCTTGTATTGTTCATGTTACTCAGGTTTGGAAGGGAAGGACCATGCAGAATGGAAGCTATTGGAAAGGTGCCAATCCACCAATCATGCTGAAGTCTTATGGGGAAATGATGATAGTAGAAGCCAGCAAAGGACACTTTTTTGTCTTCAACCTCACCGTGCATGGTCATGAATAAGAGCTCCAGTGTCAGCTTTCAAGACCTGAATAGTGACTGTATTACTTAACAGGTGTGAGCTCTAATGAGAGTCCTTTACCCTGCCTGTGCTTCAGTTATGGTGAGGGTTGAGATGGTAAAGAAGACAACAGCAGAAATTTCTTTCGAATGTTAACTTGCCTAATAGAGGGGTTCAGACAGTGTCTTCCACAGTCAAGAGCATAAAAAGGTATTTGAATATGGGAGATCATCCTCATATTTCATAGAATAGTAAAATTGTAACCTGCTTTTATTCACTGTAATACAAGAAACCATTTGTGGACTAGCTGGAACTCTGTTTCTAGCCTCTGGAAATAGCACCTTATTCAATAATATTTAAATCTGAACAGGGGCTTTTTCCTCTTTTTTTTTTACTGATGTACCCTCAGGGCTCAGATTGGAGCCTGAATCATGCAGTGGGTGCTGTCTGTGAAAGTTATAAGTGAATCACTGTTCAACTTTCATTTTTGCCATGCCTGAAAAAAATCTCAATACTTTAATGTGGAAAAATTGTCAATATTCATGTTTTCGAACTTCATTGAATGCTAGAGTTTGATCTAATTTTTCCTTTTTTTCTTTAATCTGTCCCCTCCAGCTACCAACTCTCTAGTAGCTACTGAGAAATTGTAGAAAATTATAAAAATCCTTTGATATCACATTTGGTATTTTCCAGTTAGGAAAATCATTCATAAATCAAAAAAAAAAAATCTTCCATTCCTAAGGAATTGGGAATTGAGCCATATTTTATTGATTACCATGGTACTGAAATGTCCATTTGGTCTAATCTTGGTAAACATCTTTCAATATATAGATATAGATTCTAGAAACCTTTTCAGCAGATAAAATTGACACAGGAGATGTTAATTATTCATTAGCAAGCCACAAAATATGAGGGGCAGAAACAGAGTTTTATCTGTGAAATAATGATCTAGTGATCAATTCACCTTCATTGGTATTATGCAGTTAGTGTTCAATGTACTAGTTAGAACAAGACATTAAGTTATCAAATAAATGACTAGCCTGAATAGATATATTTCCACTTTAAAAATGCTACCTCAAACAAAGATATATTGATGTATACCAATTTAACGGTGAATGGCAGAGTTTCGTATCTCTTTTTTTTTTTTTCAAGGAAAACAGTGTCTAAATTTTACTTCTAAATGCACTATTTCATTATCTAAAAGTAGCTTGAAATGTGAAACTCCCAACCACGGGCAAATGCAAGCCCTTTGAGAAACAGGGGGACTTGGAACACAGACCTCAGGCCAAGTGCTGCAGGTAGGGGGAGGGGAGTTCACAACTACGGGGAGTATGAAAACACTTCAAATTCTTCTACAACAACAAATTATTACTCAGTTGAAACAAGCAAAATTCTTACACAGCTTCAAAATTATTGCCCAGAGCTGGAAAATGCCTAAAATTTTTACACAGCTTCAAAATTATTGTCCAAAGTTGAAAATGCCTAAAATTCTTACATAGCTTCAGTTATTGCCCCAAACCCTTATAGAATTTCACAATTATTGCCCCAACTTCTTACACAGCTTATAATTATTGCCCAGAGTTGGAAAACAGAGAGACAGAGAGACAAAGAGACAGAGAGAGAGAGAGAGAGAGAGAGAGAGAGATATTTAGCTCAATTGATACCATACTTTTTCTTAGGTAATAATTGTGGCATTACTTTGATCTAAATTTTACATTCAAGTTCACCTAAATACAAGCATATTTTGAAAATTTGTTGAAACATTTTAAGTGAAAAACAAATGTATTTTGTTGCAAAAAAAGTAAATCCATTCACTGTTTTTCCATACTAAGAATATAGAATTCCAAAAAAAAGTTTGAAGACATCTAATATACATGGACTTGAAAATATTTCACAGTAAAATAAATTTATGTTTAGTTTTATTTCCACCAACTTTTTAGTTAATTTAAAAGGATCCTTTTCATTTTTATTGGAAATAGCTATGGAAAGGCTATTATATAGA